AGTTAATCTTTCAATACAAGTCTGAATATGATTTTTGGTAGCGAGGAACAATTCTGTGACAAGTAGCCAGAAACTGAGGCATCTCAAACAATGGGAGCACTGGAACATAGCAAGTAATGAGCAGGTAAGAGTACGGTCCACGTCAAGTTTCACTTGCATACAGAATTAAGGTGGCAAGATCCCTCCCACCCAGCCGATTTGTACCAAAGTGCTTGACAAAGTTTGGTTGGGAGATGTCAGGAAGGGTCTACAAACATTTTAGAACTGTTAATGATAAATCAGGCAAATAGTCGTGTCTGTCACACATTTAGATCAGAAAGTGGATCATATTGGAAAGAGACGAGAATGTTTTTTTTTGCCTCTATATGCAAATAAAAGCAACTGTGTGAATCGGTTTCAAGTCACTGCTGAACCAAATGACAAATTCCTCACTCAAAGTCTGATCCTGGGGTTGTGTACAGAGTACAGAGGTCAGGAGTAAGGCAATGTGCAGCCCAGTGAAAAGACGGGCATGGTCAGGAATATGTCATGCACACAAGTAGAGATTGTGTAATGTACAGAGGTCAAAAGTGGATAATGTGCAAAGTAAAAGGGTTAGAACTGTGTAACTTAGAGCACAGGAGTCAGGGGCCTGTAATATACAAGTAAAGCCTCAGAAGTTAAAGCAATGCACAGCCCAATGAACAAAGGAATATGTAACCTATATAGTGTATTGGTCAGGTGTACATACACCCTAGTGCAAAACACCCTTGATGATTTATTGCACAGTAGTACCCCAATGAAGCATTTTGACAACACAAGCCCCGAAACACATACATACCAGTTCCCACTTACCCTTCGCTCATAAGCACCTCTGCTGGCATGACTGGCTGCCACTCTGTCTCTTCAGTTTCTTGCCCCCACTCCCGGCAGCAGGAAGGCATGAAGACAGTGGCCCTGAGGAGGAGCAGAGTGACAGGCTCAGCATAGTTTAAGACTGCCCTTCTCCCATGTGCACAGAACTGTGGCTGGCCAAAAGTAGTATGTCAGACAGCCACGGGACTAGGGAACACGGGAGGCAGCAGCTTGGCACCCAGGAGAGCTGCAGAGCATGTGCCCTGGGTACCCCACATTAACAAGGCCCATAAGGGCAGGGTCACAATCTACTGGTCACATGGTAGCAAGTGATCTGTCCTTAACTCGCCAGCTTAGGTTTTAATAGCTGCCTAGAGTGAACTTTATCTGCGGTACTTGATTCAATCTCTTAGGCCTCCATTTTTATTTTTTTGATGTCGTGTCTGGACAATTCTCTAACCCGGCCATTTTCACCCAAATCATGCAACTGCCCCATCTTCCCCCAAACATGAATGTTCAGCCAATTTGAACATTAAGGCTGCATTGTTACGGAGGCTTACGCCGAGTTTGGGCATACTTGTGGCAGGAATTCCAGGTGTGCCCGTTCAGATGCGGCCACTGTGCCCATTCAAGTTAATGACAGGGTGACGGTACATAGTACGATTACCTTCGGAATTGGAGAGATACTCGTCACTGGACGCAGGATAGATGCATTTTTAGATTGTGGGCCCTCCTTACCATCTTGTCTTGAATTGTGACTGTAATGTCTTCCTTATATTGTAAAGCGCAGAACAAACTGTTGGCGCTATATAAATCCTGTATTATAATAATAATCCAGGGACAATCATCCATCATCCGCAGTTAATTGTACCAAGCCTTATTACATGCAGACAGCCGACAGATACGGCCGCTGTCATCCTGTTATTAACTTGCATCTTAATGGAGACACCTGGAATTCGTTCTTTCACACAGGAATCCCTGAAAACAGTATAAGCCCCTTGTGAATGGGGCCTGGTTTATGAACCCACTGGCAGGCTTAAGCTATAGGATCTGTGTTGAAGGGCCTTTGTTCATATCATAACTGCTTTTCTCCCCATACAGGTCAATGGACATACAAAAGCAGCTTATAGCATAATGAGGCAGCTTAAAATGTCAACTAAGGATCCAACGCACCTGTCAGTTCATTCTGAATAATGTCAGAACCACCTTCTTCAAGTAAATGCCAATCTACAGTAACAAAACGAGCATAATCAGATTTCATGGCCAGTCACATGGGCCATCTATGCCATTTCATCTGTCTGTATTAAATGAATAGGAAACACACTGACCATACAGATGAGTTGGGGAATAAAGTTCTCTCTACATTTTTGTTTATTGAGACAAACTAATTAAAAAGGCACAAACATGGGGCATGTGTTTACATGGACATTATAACAAACATACATTGAAAGTGTAGGAATGTAGCTACTTTCTGCTAAACAGAAAGTAACTAAGCTTTTTATATACAAAAGATGTACACTTTTATGTTCTACAATATAAAAGATCAGTTATAAAATAATTGTTTACACTCAAATTCAATTTTTTGTATATATATCAAGCCCCTACAACTTGTCTGCTGCTTTCTGTCCAGACACTTCTCATCTGAGTACACGGTCCTATTATGCTAAAGCATTCCACTTTTTTACCGCCATGGCTGAACAGGCCTTTTTAATTTTTTTCTTGAACCTCTTGCTGGAGCCATTATTTGCTGGAATAATTTTGCCAGCAAATAACCGACTGAAATGTATAAATAAAACGTATTCTCTGACTCTGTTAGCAAAAATGTAGGGTTTTTTTTTTGTAATATCACTAAATTCAATGGATGTAAAAGTCTTAAAACACCTTTGTTATAAAATATGTTTGCTAGTATATCTACAGCACTTAGATTTTAACAATTAAAAAAAAAAAAAGTTAATGTAATGGTACTCTAAAATGCAGGAATTTTGTAATTGTTTCGTTTTCTAAACATGATTAACATTTGAGAAAAAAAAATAAAAAATTAAAAGGTTAAAATAATAAAAATATCTATGCATGTAGATGGATGTGATGTCTGGTTAAAAGTGAGAATTGACCATAAGCAAGCGCTATCGGGGATAGGCCAAAATGGATACTATCCCACTGTCACTTAAAAAAAAAAATATCAAAAAACACAGACCTGGATATGAAAATGCTAAAATATTTACACAATAAACAGATTACTACAACACATTTGAGAAGTTTCAAAAGGAAAGAAGAAAATGCAAACCAAAAACCAAATCCTGGCTTGCACTGTTGGGCTAACTACTTAGTGGTTTAACAAAAAAACAAAAAAAAACTGTATACAATTCCATTAAAAACATAACAGTTCTTCAGCATAATTCTTTTCAATGCATCAGCAAGTCCAAATTGGGATACTAATCAGCGCAGTTTCTTTGTGCTTCTATATCCAGAAAGTGGATAGTACATGATCTTCTGTGGAAAGGTGTTATTTTGTGCTACAACACGCTGGCCTAAGTCCATGAATAGCCACATTTCATTTTTGAGGGAAATCTTGTTGTAAGGCTACAGCGTAGTTGTAGTTTCCTGATGGCAACAGCCCAAACCACCATATTCCAATTGATAAAACCTTTCAGTGCAAGCTGGAGGGGAAAACCTTTCTACTTCATTTTCTTTTTAAAAAAAACATTTTTCAATTATTTGAATTTCTGTTGCAACAAACAGTGGTTAGCACTCTTGCCTTACAGCACCAAGACTCTGGGTCCGATTTCCTCTTGGGACACTATCTGCATGGATGTTGTACGTGGTCTCCATGTTTGCATGGGTTTCCATCCAGGTCCTTTGGTTTAATTCCTCTACCCAAAAACATACTGGCGCCAACGGGCAATATCTACTCTACTGAGGGCAGCCATGCCTTTGTTAGCTCTTCTTTTAACCCTACATTCCTGAACTCAGAAACCCAATAAGCACCATCTTAAAGGACTGCTGCACGATATACTCGGATATCTCAGAAAAGACCTCAAAAGCAGATTCCAGTTTCCAATGGACAATTCTGATCCTCTGGAGCACCAAGAGGCAAGACAAGACAGTTGTTCACCTACATGTTTTAAGTCTTTGCCAATGTGCCTGAACAAATCCTGAGCATGTATATGTACTTAATCAGTGAGGGAATGCAACATTACAAATAATGTGCTGTACAGGACAGAATTGGGACACTTTATTTTTGTGATAGAGTGCTGGAAAATAAAAATGCAATCCATGAAATGCATACTGCTAATACACATCTGTTTTGGGGGTTTTTTTCTTTGTTTTTACACATTTCATAAACTTTGAACAGTCAAGAAGCACAGAGGAGCACCTATCCTAGTATCTCAATTATAGTAGTGACAAAAAAATATGCACATTTTTGGCATAAAAATGAAAGAATTCATTGCTAGTGTTATTTAAAACAAGAGTTACCTGGGTAAAATACTAAAAACAAATCTTTAAAAAAAATGCTGTCAATAAAACAGTCATCTAGCCTATGTTCAGTCTTTTTTTTTTTTTCTTTCATCCTTCTCCTTAGCTGGGTACGGTCCAGATCAATTCTGAAGGCAGAATAACCGCTCAAATTAGTAAAACTCAAGGTTCAAACATCAACAAATAGCTGTAAGCCTTTTATAAATTCATGACTGTCAGTTGCTGCTAAACAACTACTAACAACCCCATAATACTGCTTTGAAAATATATCTATGCATTTTTTTTGCTTTCCCTTTACCAAGGTGGTGTAGATGGTAGAGCTTGTGATAAGAACGGCATACTCTCCACTGATCTCATAGCTATATTTAAGGGAGCCGCTAAAGTCATTGAGGTTGGCAGATTCATAGGGCTTGTTATAGTGACTGGATGTGCAATGTTCACCTGACCAGTGACTGAAGTAGGCAAATTAACCGGAGATGTTAAGGATAAAGGTGAAGTCATAGAAATCGGCGTTGTTATGGTCACTGGATGACCAAGATTCATAGAAGAAGCGATATTGACAGGGCTGGAGACATTCACTGGACTTCTCATGCTCATGGCTGCTGCCACCGTTACAGGGTTTGTAAGGGTCCCTGATGCTGCTACTGAGGACGTAATATTGAAGGGAGAAGTAAGAGTCACTGACGTCTGGGCTGCAGAAGACGTTTGGCACATGTTACTTGCGTCTAAAAATAAAATAGCCATGTTACTTACTGATACTTAAAAGCAATACACACAATATGCTTTTCATACATTTCTTTATAGTTGTGTGACTACATATACTTAATTTTAAATAAAAAAAATAATCCTATGACAGCTATTACAGTGCCAAGTAAATTCTTCTGTATCAACTGGTATGAAGACATAAAATCACCTATTGAAAAGGTCCTATGATTCTGATCCACAGCACAAAAGAGGGAGTCTGGAGCTGAAATAAGAGGAAAAGTGATATATCAAAGTCCCAACATTAGGTTGTTTGTTTGTTTTTTAAACCATAAAAACCACCATTTATAAACTGTGAAAATGTCCTAGACCTAGAACAATGACGTTAAAGTAGGACTTCGACCAACAGCAAATACACTTTTGAAATACATATATGTTAACAGTTTTACCTGCCAAATTTGTAACTCTGTTGTCAGTCTTGCAATTTACACATTTCTTGCCACACTAAACCCTACCTTTATTTTAGCTTTGCAGTGTCCACCCTCTCCACCACCAGATTGCCCCACTGTAGAATAAATCAAAATTACCACCCGCTCTGTCCAAAAGACATTGAGCTGACCCAGAAAGCTGTATACCTGAACAAGTGAGCGATTCCGCAGAGAGAAAAGGTGTATGACTTAGAAAACTGGCCAAACAGAATTACAAATGTGTCAGGTAAAAGAGTTGACATGCATATATATTAGCAGTGTATTTGCAGTTTGCCTAGTGTTCCACTTAAAGCGGACCTTAAAGCGGACCTTTACTCATATCTTTAAAATAACAAAGACACCTTTAGAAATGTTTAGTAATGACAAACACATACTTCTAGATAATTGCAGGCTTTGTATTCTTTGCATACGTTATTTATTTTTTATTGCCCATTCTTCTGACAGTGGCCATGTTTACTAAGAGCAGATTACTAGTTATATTACTTCCTGGATTTCTGCCACATGTGACTAGACATGTGACTAGATATGTTACCATGCACATCATCTCAGGGGAGGAAACTGCCTTTCCCCGAGTTCTCCTGAGATTACAGATGAGATTTCCCAGCAATGCTCTGCTGATGACAAGGTAATCCAAGTGTGCTTTGCTTTGGTAAACTTAAGTCATTTTCCCCTTTCAAAGCAGGAAGTGAATGCTCTGCAAGTGTAAGTATTACAAATCACAGCATTTTACACCTGACATGTCTGTTATTATTAATCATACATACAATTGGTAGAATTTGATTTTTTGAGTGTAAAGGTCACTTTAAAATCCAATTCATTCTGCTGCAATTTATACACTAGAAATCGAGTCCTTTGTTATGACAAAGGGTGGGTTAAACAGGCATTTTCATTTAAGCAGACACATATTATACATTGTATTTGAGGCCTTTGAGGAAGTCTTAGTATGGATTAGTATTATCAAAGCTGCACCAGTGAGCTACACAACATCACTTTGGCTAAAGAAAAAAAGTAATGATAAAATTCTGTTATGAAAGAGTGAAATACATAACTATTTGCACAACTACAAATGGGAAAAATGTAATATAAATCTTTAGAATGTTACATTAAAATAAAAACTACATGAAAGCTCATCATAGTGAAGCACTGAGCTCGGTTATTATCTTATGCAACACCATGTCCATCAGAAAAGGTTACTCCAAATATGCAAACTTTAAAATGTATACAGCGCATCGTTCTTCACACCCAATTTAGTGATAGCTAGTGCATGTATCAAAATATAAAATGGTTACTTTGCCCGGCCCAGTTTTTCAGCTGCTAGGATAGCAAACTGAAATTGTTGTTCTTTCCAGAGAGGCAGAACAATTAGCCTTCAGAATTACACTGGGTAAGGAACATGGACTGCCTTTGAAAGGATTTTCAGGGTTGAGCAACAATGAGGTGATTGACAAATCTGTTGTTTAAAAGCAAATGGCGCATTTGAAAACAAAAGGTCTGATTTGAATGCTTAGTTTGCATACAAGGCAGTATTTTCCTTGAACCATCAGACCTCAGATAAGAAGTTAAATGATTAATTGCATCCAAATCACAGATAAATTGCCCCCTGAACAAAAGCTGTAACAGGGAGCAATACTTTCAGGAACATACATAGCCCTTTAAAAACTAAATCAGGCCATACATTTATACAAGAGAAATTGCTCAATTCCCCCATTCAGGCTTAAAAGTGTGGATAGATTAATCTCCCCTGCCAGGTATTGCATACCGACAGCCAGGCACTCCCAGCTGTCAGAATACCCAAACGGTGACTGAGGAAGACTGGCTGTAGTCACGTGTTTGGCTGACTTTTTTCTGCCCAGCTCCTTCGATTTTTCAACTGACGTTTGAACTGAAGTTACACAGGAATTGCCTAAATTTCAAGCAACGTATGGCCAGCTTAACAGGAAAGCATATAAAGTAGTATGAACATTTATTCAAGTATATAGCAAGCACGAATCTCATAAAGGTCTGTTTATTATACAAAACTGAAGATAATTGTATGCAAAAATTCAAATACCTTCATATTTAATTCTGCAATGAACTGGAGTTTGAAGTTCATGAAGCTGACCTACAATAAAAATAACAAATGTGGTTTTGTTTCATGCAACTGCAAGACAGACATTTTAGCATTTACATACCTACCAAAAAAAAAGTGAAGCAAACCAAACATATTTACTAGAATGTGTAAGTTATAGCAAGACTTCACATAATTCATATATTAAAGAGTAATAAAACAGTTTCATTTGTTTTTAAAGTTCCCTTTTCACTAAGTGGAATTTTGTTTTTAAAGAAATGTTAATTCTTTTAAAGAAAAAAAAAAAAAAGGTAACCTGCCATCAATGACTCACTTATACTGTATATTTCCAGCTCTCTTCCCCACTACAAACTTATAAAACCACACTAAATTACATGGTCTTACTGCCCCATCATACTTAGCAATAGGGATGCACAGATATTAGTATCGGTACCGATACGGAGTATTTGGACAAGTATTCATCAAAATGCCCCCAATGCCTATCCCGAATTTCCGGTATCAGGAAGCCGGGCGGTGCGTCATTACACAATGCCCAGCATCCCGATTGGCCGAGAAGCTGACTCCATGGTGACGAAGTAGCATGGAGCCGGATTCCCGGCCAATCAGGACGCCGGCTTCCTGATTGGCCAGCTTCCCAAACAATCAGGAAACCAGGCGGCGTGTCATTACACCAATGCCAATGGTGACTAGGAAGCATAGAGACTGCTTCCTGGCTAATCAAGAAGTCGGGTGTCAAGCCATGACACACTGCCAAGCTTCCTTAATGGGACTTCCGGTATCGACATCAGCAAGTACAGAAAAAGAAAATATCGGTACTTGATACAGAAAAACATCAGTGCATCCCTACTTTGTAATGTTGAATTCATCTGTAGCCAGGTCCAATGCAGTGATGGGCAGACAGAATGCTACTGCCAGGAGACCCATGAGTTATCCAATACCAAGGACACTGCTGTGGGTAACAGAATTTTGTTCACAGAGATATACTTAGAGTTTTGTCCTACAGCAAGCCACTTAAGCAGAGTAAGTGGTAGGAACATCTTTTTCTCTGAGTTGCGAATTGATTTACAGGTATTTTCTGGGATATCTTTAGAGAGCATTTTAAGCATAATTTATAGACCCAACCTATATAATGTGACTCTACCCTCAATTTCCTTCAATGCCTCAGTGACAAAGAAAAACACCCATAACTTTTAAATGTAAAATCAGAAATTGGAATTTTCTGTTACAAAAGGCTGAAACCACGAAAAAAAAAAAAAATATATCTGTGAAGGCCTGAAATGATGTATACTATTCAGACCTTGTACAATAAATGGCACACACATTCCATAACCGCACTCAAAGCTTAATATAAGCACCCATGCACCGTACAAGATGATTATACGACTCATGAAGGCACATTCATAATTGAGCTACAATTGAAGCTGAAAATATGCACCACTGTTAAGCTTGTATGTGGATGTGTCTGGAAACAGTACATCCGGTGGGAATGAAATGGATTACACTTACTACCAATAATAGTAGGGATCGAGAGACGTTGAGCGATCCAACAGATGGGGAAATCATATATTAAGATTTTCTTAAGGGATCAACACCTGACCGAAGGTTAGAAAAACCAGGTCTAACCAATACAACATTTCCATAACCCAGGTGGAGGACACAGAGGATCAACCTAGCTCTCCAGGTACAGGTAATTGCCAGGGGGAAAAAAATGCTACTTGAAGAATGATGGGCCTCAATTAAAAGATGTGGAGAACAACCAATCATCCACCATCACAGGTGGAACAAACAAACTACTTGAATAGGAGGGGAAAAAAAACCCCACAGCTAAGGTGGTCAACAAAATAGCAATGTTTACGAGAGTAAAGTCTTGAGCCTAGCATATTGACTATCAGGAAGGAAGCTTGGACAGACTAGGTACGTCTAGACCAACCTGTCAACAGCCAGGGGCTTAAGTAGAACCCTTCACTATACAAAGACAGAGGTCCATAATAAGAAGCATGTCACATTATAAAGAAAAGTAATCTCTTGAGACATGCATGTGAGCCCTCTTAGTAGATATGCAAAATGGAGAAATGGAGTAGCCAAGAGTAAGGATATACCGAAAAGCAACCTGGCATACAAAAACATCAAGGAGCAAAAGGAAGACTCCAAGGGTGTTTAATACACGTTACAGCCACCTCAAACCTGCCTAACCCTTTATGAAATATATGATTGTAGGGATAATAATACTTCTGCATAGGAGCTAGGGGTAGAAATCTTAGAACTAACTCTAGGAATATTAAATAGGAAAAGTAAGTTAGATTACTTCGGAAGACTACAAATCTTTAGAGACAATCTATCTTTCAGTAACAAGGTCCTAGAAGGCCTATGGACTTATACTATCCCACATAGGTAAAATTATGTAGCAGAGTAACAGTCACTTGCCCACTGGCCCTCCAGGGAAGCACAGGACTACCAGCAATGGACACTTCCTTCCAAGAAGAGAGGAGGCACACTCGTGCAAAACCTCATTCTTCAAAGTGAGGAACATCAAATGCATTGGATCTGGAGCCATTACTTTGACTTGATAAAGAAAAAGCAGTGTTGTATCCGAATATCGGACACCATCTAGCATCGGAAATAGGTCTCCCGGTAAGATATAACAACCTCCAGATTAGGTCCAACAAAGGTTAGATTAAAGGATTGACCAACAGAGGAGGGATCCCCCCACTAAATTAGTAAACTGTTCAATAAAGCTGACACAAGGAGTAAGCAAGTGAATACATGCATTAGAAAAATAAAAATCCCAGGATGTGGGAAATGAATAATACCCACCCTGGCCAGAATCCAGCAAAAAGTTAGTGTGACCTCTTGATCTGAAGCACCAGTTTGGTGCCTGTCCAAAATCCAGATTCTCTAATTTAAGGAGAAATGAAAAAAAAAAATTTGACAGTTACAGCAAGTGAAGAGGGACCATGTTACACAGAATACCCCAACAATCCCATAAATCCCTAAGAGATAAGGGACAAGGGTTCACAATTTTGTAGACTGTAGAACCCTCAGCTTAGTATTAAGTACGAGCAAGTGGGATACTGACCCTCTTCTGTGAAGATTTTCCTGAGTTTCACAGTGGGTATGCCAGGAAAAAAGCACTAGGGTGGACATAATGGTAAGTGCTATGCGCCAGAGTTCAAAAACAACTGGAGGATAGTGGAAAGTATGGTCCTTACAAGGTAAAGGAGTAGTGAGAAGCTACCCTATAGTTAAGCGTGAAACGTGCATGAATCTGAGACCTTGACTTGTGTGTGACTATTAACAACTTGATATAAGAAATATAAATAGGATGTTTTATATGTACCGGAGTTCTTGGAATATGCTATAATATCGAGGTTCTCATTGGAGTATGCTTTAAACGATTTGAACTGATTTGTATATGAGATTTTACCTCTATATAGTAATAAGAGTATAGTATAGTATAGTAATAAAGATTGTATTTTTAGCTTTTTACATGTAACCTAGACTTGAATGATGTATTGTATACCTTAAAAGCCCAATATAATTTTGCTATACTTTTCATTTCAAAGGAGTAGTGGGAACTGATCCCCCATGAACCTTGCAGATCATGAGATCCCTAAAGAGAGGGATTGAAGAGAGTGGAGCACCATGAGGGGAGTAACCAACGATCATGAAAAGGTCTCTCCCGTAAAGAGGAGTAAGGCTTGGTGTGGTTTTCCGCATTAAATCTTGCACAGGGGCATATGCTGATCCTTGAGTGTTGCTGATCCTTGAGTGTTGTCCTTCCTAATAGAGAACTGCAAGATTTATTGATAGTATTCCCAAGTATAGGGTGCGGGGAACCGAAAAAGCCAAGGGAATATCACAATGGGGTGCAGTAATACCCAACATGTCAACCAAAGAAGCTGTCAGAATTCAAGGGTCTAGCTTGGAAGCTACAAGGGGATGCCTGTGAATCCAATCTATGTGGCGGTAAACAATCAAGGGACCCAGCAGAAGAACAAGCAGCCCCCAAAGGGGGTTGTAGCTTCAAGCAGAGGGTTGAGCAGATGAGAGAGGACATCAAGCATCAAGAGCTATGGCTTGAATGGGACATAGACAGTCTACAATGCACTACTGTAGTAGATAAAAAAAAAAAATCAGGTTCTCTGGCCCATCCCAAAATCTGACAGCGCACACACACCACGCACACGGCATAGGAAATTACATCATCAAGGGCTGAAACAAAAAGAAGCCTACCCTTAAAGGGCAGGTAAATCAAATATTCCTCAAGAGTATCCTCAGTGTGCCAAACACATGAATCGGTTAAACAATGCTGACCATAAGTATGCAGAATAAAGTATACCAGAATTGAAGATATTTACCTTGAAACTTTTTACCTTGCTTACAGGTATTACAATTAATACTTTGGCTTTGACCATGCGTCTTTAGGTGACTCGTAATGTAAGCTGCACTAAGAAGTTTGCCACATATATTACAAGACACCTTTCCTTCATGGCGCACCATGTGTGTCCGAAGTCTGTCTTTGGTAGCAAAGGCAGCAGTACAGGTCTGAAAGAGAAGAATTTGACAACTTTTAGTGACTCAAGCTTTTTTTTTTTGCACAGTTGACAAATTAAAATGTTGACAAACTTGTGGAATAAACAAGTTAATACTAGTTCCTACTACGATGAATAATGCATTATTGACAAAGCTTTATTTCAGTGTATTTCAATGTTTACCTATGGTATTTGCAGTGGGATAAAAAAAAATAATAATAATTATGCGCCTGCCATCAACAAATTCACATAGGTCAGCATATGCAACTGTAGCTGCAATGCCTGTAAAGTTAAAAACACAGTAGTTGGCAAGTACTACTTTGAAGAAAAAAAATTAAAATGTTACAAACTGCCTTGCAACACGCTTAAATGTGCAACCCCAATTTTCATCATGTTATTTTATTATATACCTCTTTATTAATTTAATACATCCTAAAACAGTTACTTTTAAGGCCAACTGTCAAGGTTGCCAGCATGCTTATTTTTAGCTCTCAAGCCCTCAAATGGCTGGTAACATAGTTGATCACGAACGCACCACCACAGCAACTGCAATACAAATAAAGGCTATGCTGGAACCTTCCTCGGCTTTAAGGGATCAGCGGTTGTATTTCCGCTTCGCAACAAATACTTACCCAAACCACATTAATACATTTCAAGGAATAAAAAAAAGTTTTATCATACATTTTTATTTGTATATTATGTGCTCTGCATGCTTCACATTCCAAATAACAATAGGTACTGTATATACAAGACTCCCCTCCACAAAAACTAATAATGCAAGCACACCTGCTCATGTACCACACTTGTGCAATTGGTATTTATTTTAAGCACATAAAACTGCGCGATCGCCTCTGTGGTCAAATGCTGCTTGTGTGCTTTACCCTCATTAACATGAGTGGTGTTAAAAAATTCATACCCATCTCATTTCAAGATCACCATCACCAAGCGAATCGATTTTACATAAACACTTCCTGTACCCACTGTCCACAGTCATCAGCAGAAGATAAGTTGTGAATAAAATCATACATAGAATTTGGTGCGAAACAGAGGCATTTATATGTTTTCAGCATAACTGTACAACAGTGGAGATAACAAAATTCTGTTCTTACTTGGCATTTGAAAGGTCTTTCGGTAGAATGCACATGCTTCACATGACAGCTTAAATGATCGGGTCTGTCAGGGGAAAACAAACAAAAAAATACATGTAAAAAGAATAGAAAAGAAATTACATTAATAGCAAAGTAAAAAAAAATAAAAAGACAATAGGTTGTAAGACCTTAGTGATGATGCACTATATTTAGTTTAAAAAAAAAAAAAAACACACCACAAAAGATATTTGATTTACTAGTATGAACTTGCAGTCACCGTATAGAAGAAACAATACTGATAAATGTGTTTGATTCAAGTATTTTTGTTAAACTTGTTCACTTGTTAAAAGCATATATAGTCTCCACAGGGAGCTCCGGGTACGGCCTTCCAGGGCTATGCCAAGGATCAGCCAATCCAAAAACCTGCAATATGAGTTTCATTGGATCTGCACCATCAGCAAAATCTTGCTAGAAGAAAAAAATCTTAATATAAAAAAGGAGGCAAAAATGTTGCTGCCTAACCCTATGTACCTAAGCAGTTTCTGTAGCCAAAAATTTAAATTTTAAACGTATGGGGAATGACTACTGGATTTCTATCTGGCCAATTGTTGTAGTTGGGAAGCAATAAAACCAACCCAGACATTAGAATGACCCCCCCCCCCCAGGTTATTTTGGCACTGAAGCATTTCTAAACATTCTAGCTTGCTTAAAAGGTTTCGCCCTTGTTCACACCAAATGCAGACCAGATCTGCATGAGTTTCTGCACACGCAGTGCAGTGGGTTGTGCCGCGTTTTTTGATGCGTTCCGGGCCCTTTTTGGTAAAAAAAAACAAATTTTTTTTAGTTTATAATGGGCTTTTAGTGCGTTTGCATGTGTTTTTGATGAGTTTGCATGCGTTCCAGAGCAGGAAAAATAGGGCTTGCTGCAGTTTTTTTTACATGCTCTGAAAACTGAACGCTGCGGTGTGAACTGGAGCCCAAAGTACCATTGGAATACATTGGACGCAGTTTTGATCTGGTCTGTAACTGCTCTGCTCCTGGAACGCGCTCAGTGTGAACAAGGCCTTAAAGTTTTGGGGTTTCAGCATAAAGAATGGTTTAGGAAGTACAGCAATTTCAGCATCCAAGTCATTTTGTTCTGTTACAGAAAGTGGTAGCCTGAACCAGAGCCAGTACTTTTAAACTTCTGCAGTAACACAAGTAGGTTAAATGATACGTTCTGGTAGGCTGACAAACTCCTAAGTATTTCAGGGACTGAGCAACTTGAAAAAAGCCCCCAAAAAACTCAAGTTCCTTGGGTAGTATTATTCCACATAAGAGTGGATTTAACCTAACCGATCCACAACACACACACAAAAAAAAGTCTTAATATCTGCAATTAAACATTCTTAAAAAATGAAATGTGCATCTGCCAATAGCAGGGTGTTATTTGTGCACACGGCCATTTGGATTGTCTTGTTAGACTAGCGAACATCTCAGTTGCTAAATTGTTAACAGCAGGTATCCATGTCTGGTGTCCACTTGCAAGCCAAAGGCTATAGTTGTGTTGCTAACCTAAGGGCTCATTTACATGTTTTTAGTGTGTTAACCCATCCATGTTATTTGCAATGTGTTAAGTCAACCAATTTAAATAGGCTTCCTAAAGTACAAAAACATACAAAGCATTTTACCAGGGTTGCAGCTGGGACCTGGCTCTGGTGCTCCACCACCTTCCTGAAATCATTAGTCTGTATTGTTTTAGAAAAACTGTCACATGACAATTAAAATGCATCAGTACTTGTATCTGAGTACTTGGGCAAGTATCAGTACTTGTAAAAATGGTATCGGTGCATAATGCATAATATACCTAGATATAGATCTATCTATCTATCTAGATATAGATCTATCTATCTATCTATCTATCTAGATATAGATCTATCTATCTATCTAGATATAGATCTATCTATCTATCTATCTATCTATCTAGATATAGATCTATCTATCTATCTAGATATAGATCTATCTATCTATCTATCTATCTATATATATATATATATAAAAACAGGGATGTACAAATCCCAGGAGCTCTGTATGCTCCTTACAAATGACAGCTGCCTCCTAACTTTTGAGTTTTTCTCTAGTCTAGTCTTGGAGCTGGAAAAGTATCTGTACTTGTACCGAATACAGTACTTGGTAGCTGAACATCCCTAATACAAAAGGTGCGCAGTGCATCACTGTGTGTTGTGTAATTCATGTGTGTTAGGGTGACATTCATAATACAAACACGCATAACCCGCAACACGAAATTGTGCACCTATCCCAAACTTTCAGGTCTTGTTCACACCAAATGCAAACCAGATCTGCATGAGTTTCTGCACACGCAGTGTGTTTTGCCGCTTTTTGTCCACATTCCGGCAGTTTTAAAAAAAAAAGCATAAAATGGGCTTTCATTGTGTTCCAGGGCGTTTTGGTGCGTTCCAGAGCAGAAAAAGAAATGGGGTATGCTGCAGTTTTTCTACATGCTCTGGAACTGAACGCTATGGTGCAAACTAGAGCCCAAAATACAATTGGAATACATTGGATGCATTTTTGATGCGTTCTGTAACTTCTCTGCATCTGCTCCGCATTTGGTGTAAGCAAGCCCTCAGAGAAAGGCCTGCAGATGCTCCCTCTTGACAAAAAAGTCAGAAAGCATTTAGTTGCACACAGAGAGCAAAAGATTCTCTAGGGTATTGCCCCCTATGTAAAAATTACAGAACACCATTCCTTGCACCAGTATAGTATGCATTAACACTCAGGGGCATATTTATAAAGCAGTGCATGTACTTAACCAAACATTCACTGGTGGTGAATCAATAACTCACTTAAAACAAGCACCAGGAAGATACACGTGCACTTATTTTAAGATTTACTGTTTGATTAAGTTATACCCCTCAACCATTTAGGTCAGGGATGTCCAAACTTTGGCCCTCCAGCTGTGGTGGAACTATGAATCCCATGAGGCTTTGCAAGATTCTCACAGCCCCAGACATCATGGGATTTGTAGCTTCACCACAGCTGGAGGGCCAGAGTTTGGACATCCCTGATTTAAGGCCTTGGGTGTATCCCATATGGCCAAGGTCCCTAATGGGTCAAAACAGGCTCATGGCTGCTGCAGCAGCAGACTCCTGGCTATTTAGTAAAAGTTATTTGGGTGGATGTGGACTCATGCTTTTTGTTTTCATAAGGGTTTTGCTATTCGCAGAAGCGTGCAGTTTTCAGGTTTAATATATTTGGTATCCATTTACTCAACACAATCCCATCCTTTATTTTGTAAAAAAATAATTGGGAATTATATTGTGCTTGTATGCACTAAAATTCATTGAAGTCACTAAAATATCGACTAAAGTAATATTCTGCATCATAGAAAATTACAACCACCATCTTTTCAATCTACACGGTCTCTTTTTTCAGGAAATATTTGAAAGTGTTTTTTATTTTATTTTGTAGCCAAAATTAAAAGGAGAACTATATGGCAACCTTTTTTGCCCATAGTTCTCTTTAGGGTCACTCGAGCACTCCTACAGTGTCCTCCAGTGACCCAAAAGCCAGCATATAGCAGGCTTTATCAGCAGAAACAGCAGGGATCGGAGGTGACACAGAACACTGCAGCTGGCACCCAGCGGGGAGCAGAGACTGCTGTGAGCCAGTGACTCTGTATTCCCCCAACTTTCTTCATCAGGTCCCTGATTCACAGCAGACAGTGGGCAGGTGCAATAGCAGGATGGCTATTGCTCCAAGACACTGCCTGCTGTATTTACATTCCCCGCGTAAAACTATTAAAATGGAAAGGTGACACTAGAGGTCTAATGGACTCCTAATATCACCTGAAAGAGAACCTGTCACCTCCAATGTGCCATCACACATTTTTACACATGTCCAGGATTAGACTAACTACAGCATGACTTTTCTAGTATGAAGAAGGTAAAAGTGACATACCTTGAAAATCCTTTCCCACAAACACTACACGTATAGGGCTTGGTAATTCCTCCTTCATGCGATCTTACATGATAGGTCATGCGGTCTTTTCTTTTAAAACGTTGATTGCAGACTGGACATTCAAAGGGTTTCTCATCTGAATGCGAAAGCTTGTGCCTATTTAAATGATAAACATCCCTGAAGGCCTTTCCACACATTTCACAGGCATGGTTTTTCTTAACAGGTTTGCTAGGCTTCTTCACAGGCTGAGGGACTGGCATCGTTGGGATGCTAGTGCTTGCACTAGGAATTGTAGTTGAAGACGATGTTGTAACAGTAGACAGTATCCCTGCAATTGTTGAAACCAAGGATGTTCTATTATTGTCTCCAGCGATAGTTGATATGAGTGGCACAACCGGCGCAGTCTGTGTTTTCTTTGGCCGTGACACTAACTTTATTCCTGTGTGGCAAGATTCATGGCGCCTCAAATGGTAACTGTCCCTAAATGCTTTGCTGCAATAGGTGCACACAAAGGAGGTTTTCGATTTTTCTTTCTTTACTACAACAGGTTCTTTTAAAGGTTCTGGAGGAGGATGAGGTTTTTGAGTTATTGGTAAAGGTAACATAGGTTTTTGATCAGGAGGATCAACTGGCGCTCCCAACAGTGGCAGCAAGCTGTTTTGAGCAGCCTGTTGTTGGTGATGATGGTGGTGGTGATGGTGGTGGTGTGAAGCCTCATGAGCCTGGGGGGGGGGAAAAAGCTGAATTTAGAAACATTTCTACAAATATTTTAATGCTGCAATAATGTCAAATCTGTAGCCAAATTGGAGACAATATATTATCAGGTGAGTTTAACTGCAGCTACAACTATTTGCAGAGAAATGCACTGTCTACAGAAAACAAGGTTGATCTTGTTTGTCAACTTAAAAAAAAAGCCACCCCCCCC